GAGCTTTTCCGGGTAGAAAGCTCACCGGAAGCACTTTTTCATCAAAACAAGATGGCGGCGCCCAGCTGATGCCGGTACCGGGCCGCGGCGCCCAGCTGATGCCGGTACCGGGCCGCGGCATAAAAAAGGTTGGGGACCACTGCTCTACAATGCAAACTTGAAAAAAAATAGGCGATGAATAGAATACCTTTTAGAATACTTTTCATTGTCATTGCATTCTACAAATACAATGAAATTTGAAAGCTACTCCAGCACAGTGCCCCACACATCACATCACAATCACACTACAGAGTTTTAAAAATTAAAATAATTATAATGATAATAATAGGACTAAATCACAAATGCACTGTTTGATTCAAGACAATTACTGCCTTGGAAAAGAAACTGTTTCTCAATCTATTAGTCCTCATTTTAAGACACCTATAACGCGTCCCTGATGGTAACAGATCGAAATATGAATGTCCAGGATGAGAGAGGTCTGTGAAGATTTTTAGTGTTCTAGAGAGGAGTTTGGTCTTCGCAATCTTTTCCAAAGAAGAAAGAGAGCAACCAATGATTTTTTGTGCTGTGTTTATAATTCTCTGGAGCATCTTCTTATCCACTGCAGAGCATCCAGCATAGCACACTGTTACACAGTATGCCAAAATGCTCTCAATGGTAGACTGGTAAAAAGTAACCAGCAACTTCTTACCCAAACCACTCTTTTTCAGCAACTTCAGAAAGTGCAGGTGTTGTTGGGCCTTCTTTGCAGTGGCCATAATGTGTACCGACCAAGCAAGGTTGTCGGAAATATGAGTTCCTATAAATTTAAAACTATGAACTCTTTCCACACAGTCTCCATTGATATATAGTGGGAGAGGCTCCGCTTTGCATCTTCTGAAGTCTATTAATAAATTCTTTGGTCTTTTTGATATTCAGGGTGAGGTTATGACTCTTACACCACAAGACAAGTCTGAGAACCTCTGACCTATAGGCCATCTCGTCTCCTCCTGATATGAGTCCCACCAACGTGGTGTCATCTGCAAATTTTATTATAGAGTTAGTGGGACAAGAGGGAGTGCAGTCGTAAGTGTAGAGTGAATACAAAAGGGGACTCAGCGGTCCGTCTTAAGGGAAGTCCAAAACCAGAAGTCGCAGCAACCGAGTGCGCTGCCATCTTGGTAACCAAAAAGCAATTAATTAGGCAAAAGCAGGAAAACTACAAAAAACAGCCATGCTGTTCACCCATCCTCTCCCTTTGAGAAGTGGACTGAAGGACATTATGTAATTCAGGAGGGCAGAAACAGTATTGTGTATGTAACTTTTTCAAATAAAATTGGAAGTTGCTTTGTTAAATATATTTTTTTTTCTGGATCTACCTTGCTGTTCACCTGTGCTTACTTTTTTTGACTAAAACTTCTTTGTAAAAATGTATAAATTCAGCCCACAGAGAGGACTATATTTTGGAGGGTCCAAAAGTCTGAAGAAAAACGTAAGCATATTATTGGGCTGAAGTAGTGGTTGCTCTTGGAAGGAGCCATCAGCTTTGCTGTTGCATACGGAATTAGGCTCCCATTTCTCAAGGTAGATTCTTCCTGCAAGACATTGTCTTTCTCTCTTTCTTTACCCCCCTGTAGGAAGAAAAAGCTGGTCCAGTTTCAATCCGGGAGAAAGGTGCTGGAAATAAAATGGAGGCTGCTTGGAAAGAAGGATTCTGTTTACTGAAGAGCAGAACCATAGCATGCAGTTCTGGGACAGCTGACATTAGCTTGATGAGTTAAAGGATTTTTGTACTGTACAATTTCTGAAATGCTGCAATGTAGTGAGCCTGGTGTCTTTTGCTATTATATAATATTATATATAATATTCTGCCTCTTTCAATATTCCCCAAAATATTTTCATGTTTCTGGGAGGGGGGGCTTCCCTTACCCTCTTCCCCTATTTGTCTTCCAGAAAGATTTAGACCCACAGAGGAGAGAGGTGCCATGGCTGAAGATCACCCAAGTAGGGATCTATATCTGGGCTGCAAAAAACCTAGATAGCCTAAACAAATACAGACAATTTTGGTAGTCCTTGGGATTTTTATAGCTCAATTCAGCCTAGCCTTTTACTCTGGAACCAGCTGGAGAAAATAAGTACCCCATCAATTGTGCAGTTTGTGAAAAATGAGAAAGTTCTTGGCTGCGGTTACTAAATGTCCCTCAGGGCCTGCGAGGGGGGTGGCCAGGCGACATTTGCGATCCCCAGGTGGCCAGGCGACATTTGCGATCCCCAGGAGCCAACTGACCAGAGGAACTCTGCGACCCAGGGCCATTCTGGGGAAGGAGGGGGGGAAAGTGCGCGTCACGATTTGCCCCGCCTCCTTCCAGAGCCTGTCCCTATATTTCTCTCGGTCAGGATCGCTGCTAAAAGCGTGGCTCGGGCAGAGAATCCTGAAGCCAAGAGGGAATAAGCCGCGCTTAGCTAGGACCGCTCTTTCGCGCTCACGCATGCCGCTTCTTTTTTCTTTACCCGGGAAAGTCGCCACCGAAGCTCGGGACAAGCGCCATTAGTCTGAGCGAGTGGGCAACCCAAGACACTCTGGCGCCAGGTTGCTGTCTGGGGGGCGGCTTCTGCTGCTGCAGGCGCGCTTCCAACCAGGAGGGCGGGAAGAGAGCCATGGGGGTGCCCTTGCCAGGTGCCAACGGCCGCTTGGGCGCTCTGTGGAAGAGGCTGAGTCGCGGCTTACGACCCCTTATTCAAACCAAGGGCGGGCGGCAGAGCTGGGACGAGATACACCTGCTGCATCTGAAAAGGTAAGTGCGGGTTTCGGATTGGGCTGCTGCCGCCTTTGCGTCTCAGAAATCAGCCCTCTGCCGGCAAATGAACAGCTGGGCGGGATAGTGTACTCCAGGCTGCCGGATCCGATGCCTGCAGGCGCGCGCGCGCCTCTTCTTATTCTCCTGATGAAGATTCAATCACGGCATCGTCCTGCAGCAGGAAAGTTAGTTAGCACAGGAGAGAAACGGTAAAACAAAACAAAACAAAAAAACCTTTTTCCCCCTTGTAGGCTGGTTTCTTTCTTTCTTGTTTCTTTCTAGGGGAGCGCTGAGAAACGGCATCCCCTCTACTTTGCAAACTTTGCAACTGTCAGGATTCTGCTTCTGCTCTTCCTTCTTGGGTCTGGATAAGTCCATCTCAGCTCCCAGTTTGCTCTAGCAGGAGGGGCATAGTTGCATCCTTGAAGCCAGGTCATTTTTGCACCAGGGAAAGAATCACTGAAATATTGAATTGTTTGCAACAGCAAGGATTTCTGCCACCTGGAAAAAGTGGTCTCCCAAGTCTAGACTTTGCAGAAATATCTTCCTCCTCCTTGTGATGCGCTGGGACTTCATCATAAATCTTTTCTTGTGTACAGATACTTTAGGAGCAGTCTGATACACATCTATCTGGGAATATGCCCCACTGACCTTAATAATGCTTACTTTCAGATTGATTTGGATTACAGTCGCTTTATTAAAGAAGTCTGAACTGAATAACTGCTTGATGTTGCCCCAAATCAGTTGCCTTAGATGACTTTCTTACTGTTGCTTATTAAAAAAATGAGCTCTGGACTGGTTTATCAACATTTTTTATAAAACAAGTTTGTAATCACCAAAGTGACCCCTTGTTTTGTGGTCAAAGCAAGTGGTTGTCCATAAAGAATTGGTAGACAGTTCTGGATTTCAAAGTATTTATTGAATGTAATGTTTTTGAGAATATCATAGGCACTTCATCAATGTTATGTATGCTTTAAAAAGCAGCCCAAATTTAAGTACAGATCTCTTGTAGGGCTGTGTCTTACATAATTCCCAAACCTCAGTAAACTGATTTATATATATATATAAAAATACTGCATGGTTATGGTTTTTCATTTCCTCCTCAGCTGATTGGTGTGAATGTAATGTAAGACCAGAGGATGGAGGAAAATTTATTTTGAATTGAATATGAATGAAATCTTCTGTACTTGGTGGAATCTCCTCAGAAAATAGATCAAATGCAGGTTTAAACTTCTTGTGAAAGTATCTTTAGAGTCATGTTAGAAACTTCAATATGAATAAAACCAATTAAAAATCTACCTCAGCAATTTCAAACTTAATGGTCCTTCATGGCCAACATTAATTGAGAATTAGAAAAGAATTATCTCAGACAATTCGAAAACACAGTTTGGATAAGATTGCTGTAGGCCCTTAGAAGAGCAATATATGACATCACATCTCTGTTTAAAGATATGGTGACCATTGCACCTGAGTTATCATCTATGAGTACATAGACTGCTGGGGGTTTTCAGGCAGAGTATTTATTGAAGTGTTAGTATTTTACAGAAAGCATCCAAAGCATTTATTTCATTGAAAATTTCCATTTATCCTATAGATGAGGTAGAATGATGTTGATTAGTTTTTAAATATTTCCATGCTGAAAAATTGCCATAAATGCAATATAGTATAGTATAGTATATAATATAATAATGTAATGTAATGTAATGTAATGTAATGTAATGTAATGTAATGTAATATAGTAAGGGAAACTCCGGGAAGCTTACAACTATTAGAAATACTAGAGTTAGCACAGTATAATGTTTTAACTATAGTTTTGCTTTTGAAATATTTCCCATGGATTATAAAATCATTATTTTGGAATTGACTATTTTGTAATTAGTGAAAATTTAAATTTGCATTTCTTTTCAGGTGTAAAAATGTCTAGGCATAATAATCAGTCGAGTAATGAATAAGGAGTTCATTACTTCATAGGAACTGCAAAGTTTATATTCCTGACTTCAGTGCAACTAGGATAACTGGCTGCCTAAGGCGGATTCCAAATTTAATTATTGAATTAGGGAAGTGTGAGCAAGGAGAGTCTTAATACCCCGATTCATAAGCTGTAGTATCAAAGGCCATGAATCCACTGCTTATATTGCATGTATTGTGTGTGTGTGTGTCTGTGTGTTTCAATGTAAACCTGGTCATTATTCCTGGTCATTATTTTTGGCTGCTATTTCTACATAAGGATACTTTAAAACAATTTCATGTTTAGAATCAGGATAACATATAATAAAATTCTTGAGTTCTTTAAAATCGGTCTACTACACACAAAGTAGAATGGATTTGCAAAACGCTAGACTTTAGACAACTATTAATTTGGCATTTCCACACCTGCACTCCAAATTGTATTTCTCTACTTATAGTATGAACTAATGCACTTCCCCTGACCAAAGATATACAACTTGAATCAGTGTTCAGTATATACAGTACAGTGCTATAGTATGCTGTGTGAATTGTATTATTGTGAGTTTGGGATTAACTGCCCAATGTAAGCCAAAGCCAAGAGTTATGCAGTTAACTCCACACTTGGGGCAATAAAATCATTACTTTTCTACAGATGCAGACTATCTGGCCATACCATGAATTAGTTTACAAGGATTTTGATATAGGAGTGTCCTCCCTTTTAGATTTGGCTGTGCTTTTTGTTTCCATTTGAATTGTTTACAAGGTTAATTGCAAGCACAGTCAACTGCTTTAATCTTTAGAGTTAGATTAGGCTGGAATTTGCCTAGAGGCAGAGAGATGCTTTTATTTGTAATTAAGTAAATTCAGTTTGGCCTCCAGTGATAATTATTACAAGAAGATAAAAACTGTTGGCGCTTGAGGGAATGAGATTTAAACTTGTGAGTCTTGGTATATTGGTACATTGGTACATTGTGTTTATATGGTAAAGCTGTTGAAAGTAATTATATTGCCCAATAGAAAACATTGTGGATTTGGAAATTATTATAATCCCATGTCTCTTTGAACTGCTAATTCTGCTTTCCTTCTGAAAGATGTGGGGAGATCTTTGTAAAGCATATGGCTGCTAAAGTTGTTCCTTATGCTATTATAATTATCTATCTCAGAACTGTATTGTTCAAGCCTGAGCTACAGATACTCTGTTCTAATGTAATGTGTGTTTCTCCCTAGTAAGATTTTGCAAACCTTCCAAACAAGGATATCTGATATGTGTTTTTGATCTAGGTCTTTTCGATCATCACGCATTAGCTCTTTTATTAGGGATAATTTCACTCAAAATATAAATCATATTATTATTCTATTTGTGGTGAGATTCCAAACTTAGATTATTTTTACTAGAAATCTCATTTAAGGTGTAATTAAGGAATAACTATCACTAGTTAGCCATATCCTGATAACTAAATGACCTGAGTAAATGCCTTGCAGATTTGATCAAAGTCCATTTAAACTAGTGTTAATTGCAAGCCGTGTATAAAAAATAACAAAAACTATATGACCCAAATACTGCACTGAGGAACTACACTTCTGTATCGAAAACTAGGTTACATATATATCCTATTTACTCCTCATTTTGTCTATACTGTTTTATGGGGTTTTTTTTCTTTTTTGATTTGAAGAGTGCAAACAATTATACTTGCTTAGGCCTTACTAAGCTATCTAGCAATCATTTGTAATCTTTGCATTTATGACCTTATCAAGTCTGCAAAGTAAAGGAAAGCTGAAATAAGATAATAAGCACAATTGCAGCTTCATTTACCAACTGCTTTGCTTAACAACCAAGTTGCCAGTCCCACTTGTGGTTGCTAAGCAAACACTACCTTTACAGAACAATCCTCTAGAATGTGGCACTTCCAAATGTTTAAGGGTAATAAATGTTGGGAAATGCAGGGCCAACTCATGAAAGGTGACAGTCAAAGAATCTAGATGCTAAGTTCCAAAAAGGGTTCTATACAGTTCTTCTCATTAATGTCTGTGTCTTCAGAATGGGAGCAACTATGACCTACTCAACTTCATATACTGACATTCAAAATTCAGTTGTTTCTTTTCCTTTTCTCATCAACTTCAATTAAGGCTATAAAAAAAGAAGATTTTTAATGATGTCATGTTACTAGATGCTGCTACTGCAAGATTCATAAGAATTAACAGTGTTTTATATAGGCATTTCAATACAAGCCATATCACCACTAATGCATAGTTGTAAATAATTACTTTATATGAGATGATGTTGGATTTTAGTTATCCTCATTTTAGTTAGCCTCATTTAGAGGAAGACCCTTCCATGTTGTGGAGGACATGGATTTTCTTCCCTATACAGATAGTCCTCTTCCCTATAACAAGTAGTTGATATGTTTTAAAATCAAACTCTTTTTCCACCTTCTCAATTCAATTACCTCCTTCCCAGAGCTGAGAGGCCAACTAGCTGGCCTCTTCCCTAAGGCAGAACTAGAACTTACTTCCCAGTTTTTAGCCAGTATCTTAACCCCTAAACTAAAATGACTCTATTTGCCCGTCACTGTTTTATAAATCTGTTTCTGATCCATAAGTTTCCCTCTAATTTTACAAGGTTTGTTAAGAGTTTGAATATGTTGTTGTTTTTGCTTTTAATTAAAGAGAGCAGAAAAAGAAGGAAGTCTTTCTTGGTTACATTTCTATATGCATATAAAACTACACTGGTTGTTCATAAATATTTTGTAACATTCATTCTTCACTAATTGGGACCATCAATTTATCTTTTCAGTGTTAGAGCCAAGTCTTTTAGTGATAGGTAGAGCAAGGTGAAAGTTTTTATTTCTATTATTTTATTCAATTCAGACTTAGCTGTTTCTACCCTTTTCATAACTATTCCAATGTCATAGAGATGATTATTGCCTTGAATACAAATTTTAATCTTTGATAGGATGCTAGAAATGAACACCAGATTAGGATCTGCAGCCAAATCTGCCACAAAAAATAGACAGGTCTAATATTTTAAATCTCATTAAATCCTCAAGAAGGAGTTAAGGTTCTATGTGAGAAGATTGTTTGTCAGAGAGTCTCAATCCTATTCTAATACTTAAACTATCTTTACCCAACATATTCTCTATCTCTCGATATTTTAGGAAATGAGATTTTACAGAGGAAAAAGTTTGTGGAGTCCTACAAAGTATTCCTCTGAATGCATCTTTAGTGGATCAAAGACTGTCAATTATCTGAATGCACTTGATGTTTCTTTTGTTTTCTTGAACTTGTTCACCTGACTTCTGACATCTGGAAATGTGATTTTAATTGCTCCAGGAAGAATATCACATTATATACTAAACACCTGATTTATATGTGATGCTTATAGAGTTTGCCTGGCCATATGCCAGAAAGTTAAACGGGAGAAGGCTCTTACTTGGGAGTATGCAGAAGAAACCTTTCTCTAAGAACATATTAAAGTGGAATATTCCAGCACTTAATGCCAAGTGTATTGTATATGCTCTTTACTCTTCTTTTAATTTGCCCAGCTCTAGATAGCAATTCTAATTCATTGTAGCTGAACTGAAAAAGCTAAACAAGGTTGTTTTTTGACAGACGAGAGAGCAGGAAATGCCACTTCTGTAGGCCAGCTTGTACTAGTTGGTTGTAGTGTTTAAGATGTTGGACTAGAAGTAGGGCAATCCAGATTCAGTTCTATCCTGAACACTCTAAACATTTTATGTCAATTACTCACTTGCATTCTAACCTTCCTCAACACCTGCATTTGTAGGAATAAAATGACAGGATATTCTTTATAAATTGCCTCCTGAGGAAAGAGCAGAATATGAATCTAGCAAATAAATGCATAAATAGATTGGTAGTGAAAAAAACAACATTCCATAAGAAGATGGTGGCAAAACACTTCTTCATTGGCTGTATTCAAGAAGTCCCCAGGAGTCAAAAAGAAGTTACATGTTTTGATTCAGAGCCCTAGTTTTTAAAATGTTATCTCTCCCAAACTCTTTTATACCTTTAAATGCAAGTATAAACTGCTTTTCAAATAAACAAATCCATTATTTAAATAATGTTCTTTGATTATCATTAAAATGTGGTAGAAAACATGTTTCATTGTACCTCTGCAGTATTCATTCCTTTTAGGTTCCTAACATAATATCTAGATGCAAATGGTCCTTGACATTGCCAAGGTAAAATAGGAGTCTGTTTATTTGTTTATTTACCCTCCTCCTTTATCAGCCATTCTTAGAGGCTCTATGTTGCTAACTAAACAATTTAACAAACACACCCTTCCAAATGCATGCAAAAACAGAATCTATATAAATAAGTCATGATTGATGCATATTATAAAGCAGCTTCCTACTTCCTACAGCCAACTGAAAGGGATTTTTTTACAAGTTTCTAAATCACAGGACAGATGAAATAGGCTAAAATTCAGCAACTTTGGATAAAAACTTGCCTCTGAGGTCTGTCAGGTTATAATCTTGACCAGATGGGACCTGTATTTGTATCTGTGAGATCTAGTTGGATGGGAGAGGAATGTCAAATAATCAGGACTGAAGCCATGACGACCGGCACTTTGAATCGCATTGGAAAGCCCATTGGTAAGCAATGGAGCTCCAAAAATATTGGAGTCATCTAATTATATTGGGCATACCCATCATTGCCTGCCTGGGCCACCAAATTTTCTACCAGCAGCAGCTTTTGGTTCACATACAGGAGAGAAGGAAAAAATGGAAGGAGCATGGGTAGCAAATAAGAAGAAAGACAAAAAGGAGACTGATGTATAAGCAATGAGACAGAGAAGAGAGATGGTCTACAACATGGATATTGAGGCTGTAGCAGGTATTGGGTATTGAGGCTATAGCAGGTCTAACCCAATCCCAGAAAATAGTAGATACACAACCTGGAGAAGGTAGAGATCATTTACTATTGCTTCCTTTGGTTACTCATGACTAACTTTAGGAGTTAGTCCTAAGGATACATTTGAATGAAATAATAACATTACTCTGCCCAAGTGCCATTTCCCTTATGAGATCAGGGCCTTCTCACTAATTTTCTTGGCAGTCTATTCCTCATTTAACTTTGTTCTCAATAAAATATTTCCTATCATGTATTTATGTACTTAATACACAGGTATCACCTGTAATCTTTGTTCAGAAGAGGGATTGCAGGAATGAAAAGTGGGTAATTCTCCAGAGTAAGGGAGAAGTAAGGGGAAGGAAGTAAGGAATCAACCTCTATAAACATCACCACTAGTGAAGCTGGTTTCAAGGAGGGAATCACATTTTTTTTTGTTCTTACCAAACTACTCTCATGTAGGAAACGTGTAGGAAATTAGTAGGCTTGAGTGAGGCAGCTTAATACTACTGTATGTATGGAGAATGGCAGATGACTGAGGGAGGGAAGATCCATTACCAAGGGAACAAATAGATGATAGGGCAATATGCTGAGTCTGTAAACTGCTTATAGAGGGGCTGTAAAGCACTGTGAAGCTGTATATAAGTCTAAGTGCTATTGCTATCTTGATACCCTTAGTTTGATAACTAATTTTGCTCTTTTTGTCAGATTCCTCAAACATAAATACTTCCTGGTCATGCTTTTCCTGTCTTTTCATTACAATTCTGTTTGTTGTTGACATGGGTTATTCTGATCCTCAAGAGTAATTTTCTTATTGGACTTTTTTTCCTGCAGCATCTGGGAATCTCCTCTTCTCTTGGCTGCCAAGGAGAACAATGTTCAGGGTCTTAAGAAATTAATCCAAGATGGTTCTTGTGACATTTATCAAAGAGGTAATTAAACCTACTCTGAAGAGAGAATCTTCTTGGACTATCAAGTGCTGCAGTAAAATTACATGCATTAATTTCTCCAATCTTTGATCCTCTGCAGTACATATGTGCGCAGATGTCTATAGAAATGCGACTCTTTTTTCACATTATATTGTTGTTACATGCCGTCTGGGGAGTTCTGAGGATTGAAGACTACAGGTTCTAAAGTTGCTGAGATTGAGAAACACTCCACTAAGGGTGTCCAAAACAGCCATCAAGAAACATTTTGGTACAAAAACAATATTTTGAATTAGAACATTTCTAGATTACTTGGAACAGTCCATTCCAGGGTCGGAACGTTCTGTGACTTAACATTTTGCAACCTTTTAGTAGACACCCAAGACTAGTGAACACCCAGGCGCATGTTTATTGCAATTGGATGAGAAGACGTCAAGATGGAAGAATGGTGTACAATTCACAGCCAAATTACAGTCCTTTGACTACAGTACTAGCAAGACGGAATAGTTCCCTCACCATCACAGAGCCCTATTTCTGTTTGGGCCTCTTTGCAAAGCTCTAAATTTTATATTAAAAGATACCCATAAGTGAGGCAAGCCAAACTTTCTCTCTTTCCCTTTCATTTTAAAAAGACAGACAATAGATAGATGTTTATCAACTTACATATCTGTCAATCTGCAATGGGCCAAGATGGTAGCTTATAGCTTCAATAAAGAAGCTTTCATTCTGTAGTTGATTGATTCAACTGTTGCTGTTGATAACGTGTTTTGTGTATCTTATATGTGTATGGGACAGATGTCTGAATCAACAAGCAAGGCTGGGTTGTAAACTCACTCTTAAGTGACATTTGTTGGTTTTTTATTATTTTGTGCAGGAGCGATTGGGGAGACTGCTCTCCATGTAGCCACCCTCTATGATTGCACAGAAGCTGCTGACTTTCTTCTGGAAGTGGCTCCAGAACTCATCAATGAGAAAATGACATCAGCACTCTATGAAGGTGATCACTATTAAGGAGCTGATCTAGGATTTTTTTTAAAAAATTAAATTTTATATTTATAGCAAATACATATAGTTATTGAGATCTCAAACTGAAGTCTTCATACCTAAGCACGATGCCCAAATGACAATAGCAATAAGACTTACATACCGCTTCATAGTGCTTCATAGCCCTCTCTAAGCAGTTTACAAAGTCAGCCTATTGCCTCCAACAATCTGGGCCCTCATTTTACCAACTTTGGAAGGATGGAAGGCTGAGTCAACCTTCAGCTTGGTGAGATTCGAACTGCTGGCAGTCAGCACAATTAGCCTGCAATACTGCATTTTAACCACTGCGCCACCCCAGCAATGTCATGATACAAGCTCTGCTCTTTTACCCTTGTGTCACATGATACAAAAAATATATTGGAAGTAGAGCTTATGATGCAACATAATGATAGAGCTCTTTTCTCTATGGAACATCATTTCCCCCCAGGTACGATTGGCCCCCACCTGTTGTTGTTCTAAAAGACCACGAAGACATGGTTTTGTCAGTAGGCCAATCCAGTGGTTGATTTGATTCTGTTGCTGATGCCATGGAGTGGGGAGTGTTAATGGGTTTTTATGTTGTGGATCTTTAATGTTGTAAGCCACCTGCAATCAGTTGGATGTAAGTTTATTAAACAAATTTTAAAAATTGTTTAATAAATAAACATTGTAACACATGATTTAACACTTGATTTAACACTTGCTATTGCTGCAAATATTCATGATCTCAAATCAGAAAACAGAATGAACGATAATAGGAACAAAATGTTTGAACAGCTATTGTGTATAGTAAGAATGGGTCTTTCTATCTGAAAAGCTAAATCATCAAAGCTAAAATCTGCTGCTAAACGCTTTGTAACAAAGATTGACTGTATTAGGAAATGGATTTTCAGTGGGAAGATGGTAACGAAGGGAATGCTTAAAAAGCCCTTAATTCTACCTACAGTCTCAGATGCAGTGATTTTTTTTAAACCCTCCGTTTCTAATCATGGGATTCACAGATGTCATTAATATCTAGTTTAACTGGAGCTTTGGCTTTCATTTCAATCTGAATGTTTGAACTCCGCATTTGATCTTGTCAGTTAGGAAAGTTTTGCAGACTATGAAAGACATTCTTTCTAAATTCCCTGCTAAAAAACAAATCTAAAATGGTGGTTGGTTTCTTAGCATTCCATAATTGGAAACAAGCCACTATTGGGTACAAAGAATGTACTAATTTGAATTTTTAAAAAATGTTAATTGCAGGACAGACAGCACTCCACATTGCAGCAGTTAATCAAAATGTGGATTTAGTGAGATGTCTGCTGATGAAGAGAGCTCACATTTCTGCTCCTCGAGCTACAGGACACTTCTTCAGGCGTAACTCCTCACATCGCTCCTATTTTGGTATGATTCCATCTGTTGCACCAGAGAACAGAGATAACTTGATTAGCAGAAGAAAGTCAATGCTCCACAGAGTTAGCTCTGCTCCCCAAAAGTTCTTTTCTATCCCTCCTGTTACTGCTGGATCTGTCACTTCAATAAAGAAATCTTAGTAGACTAGTTTTGTCTGCAAATGAGTAAATAAAATGGGATGAATCCATATTTAATCATCCAGGTAATTTTCAAATTAATGGCCAAGTCATTTAATGACTGCTCAAAGTTACAACCGTCTTGGAAAAAAGACCTACTCCCACAGTCACATGATTGCATTTCAGGCAACCAGGTCTCATTTATGACAAGTTGTAATATCCTGCAGTCACCTGATTACTTTTTGTGACCGTTTTGCCATTTTCCATTATCCAATGTCTATTGGACAAGGTGAATTTGGATTTACAACCACATTATTTTAATGACTATAATGATTTGCTTTATGACCATCATAAACATGGTTGTAAAATTGAGCCTGGTCATATGGTGACTTGATTTACAGCCACAATATCTTAACGACCAAAATTCCAAGCTCAAATTTTTGTCATAACATGTAATTAAAGAAGTGTCCTTGAAATAATACATTAAATCCCAATACCATAAACTCTAAGGTTACTCTGGATCCAACACATTATTTTATTTAGATATGTATGCAGAGGAATGGCTTTCCTAAATACGCAGCTGCTGTCATAAGAAAAGTACAAGGCAAAAGAAAACTATTTAAATGAAAACTGATTAACCAAGGGAAACTTATTCATTGATCCCCCAATAAATGGAATCAGCTAAACAGCGAACCCCAATTATGGTTCTCAGAATATATTTTTATTAAATTACTGAAACTTTGTTTTAATTTTGTTTTTCCTCACAAATTCTTCTGTAGGGGAGCATGTTTTATCTTTTGCAGCCTGTGTGGGCAATGAGGAAATTGTTCATCTATTAATTGAAAATGGAGCTGATATCAGGGCACAAGATTCTCTAGGTAAGATGCCCACAGTCAACTTGTAAAAACATGAATTGTTTTTGGTAGAAACAGTAATGAATTATACCTGGTTTGAATTTGATAGACCATTGAGTAATCAAACACTTGGCACTTATGTACAATTATATGATGGCATTTAATATATTTTTAATATATGTTTTAATTCAATTGTTAGGAATTTTTTGGTGTTTTATTTTTTTTCTTCTCTGTAACACACCTCAGTCAAAATGCTATGTAACAAGGTATGACTCAGTTTTCAGACTCATTAATAAATTTATCCCACTGATTCAAAATGGATATATAAAAATGAAAGTTGTGTTCATGAAGAGCTAATAATGAGACATTACTAATCTGGATTAATTCAGTAAATATTAACCAATTGTGCAGTTGTATAAGAGCAGTTCTCAAATTGTTTCATCTCCAGGAAACACAGTTCTTCATATTCTAGTTCTTCAGCCAAACGGGACATTTGCATGCCAGATGTACAATCTCATCCTTTCCTATGACAAACAAGAACGGAACTTGGAACCGTTGGACTTGATTCCCAACAATGAAGGTCTTACTCCATTCAAACTAGCTGGAGTTGAGGGTAACACTGTGGTGAGCGCATGGGCCAATTGATCTCTATGGGATTTTTGGGGGCGGGGGGCAGGGAGAAGAATTTTTAGAATATAATTTGTTCTAATATCTTGTTTTTGTCCTCAGAAAAGTCCTAGACATTTATGTTGGGCTCCCTGACATTAAATACTAAGTAAACCAAAAGCCAGATTCAGATGTTAAATCTTGGATTGTTATGGATTATTGTTTTATGCTGTAACAGTCTCATAATTCCTCCTTCACATACAAAGCAACAAAGTTCCCTTTATGTGCTTCATGTTTTCGCTAGGAATGGAAGGAAAATATACAAACCCAAGTCTCATATATATAAAATGACATACTTGGTACTTATTTAATAGTATAAGCAAATCTTACTCCTTTAGATCATTTTGTGATGTAATTGTAATTTAAAATTATTTTTAGTATCAACACCTCTTTCTCTTAATTGGAAATTGATAATTTTTTTTGGTTTTCTTTTGGGTGTTGTTTCAAGTCAGTCTTGGCTCCTGGCAACTATATGGACTAGGTCCTTCAGGCATGGTTTTTCAGAAATGATTTTGCTATTGCCTTGTTCCTAGGGGTTAAAGAAAGACAGAATGACTGGCTCAAGGTCATACAGTTGACTTCATATCTAAAACAAGACTTAGTTTTGGTAGATCTAGAAAATAGACTCCTGATTTCTAGATCAGTGCCTTTAATTAGGATCCTAATGGAAAAAGTTCTGGATCCTAAAAGCTTATAGCCCTTTGAACTATTCAGAATTTCTGCACTTTCATCCAATTCCAGCATCCAGAGTTGAACTATTTTGAAACTCAGTGCCATCTTTAATACATTCTGGTACTGAATCTTATCAGCAATCTGATGTAAATAATCCTGTGCTGTTTTTCTTTTTCAGATGTTCCAGCATCTTTTGCAAAAGCGTAAGCAAATAATGTGGTCTTTGGGACCTATTACTACCATTCTCTATGATCTTACAGAAATTGATTCCTGGGGTGAAAACCAATCTTTTCTGGAACTTGTTGTGTCAACAAAGAAAAGAGAGGTACTATGGAGCTCAGATACTTTTAATCTTTGTAGAATGATGACTGCTTCTATTATTGAACAAGGAATTTGAATGTTCTCCTAGTTGTTCATATAAATTGCATTGTCTATGAACTTTTTAAAAAGTCCAGCTGATGAAGAAGCAAAGATTCTGAGATTCTGATAATAGAATTCACATCACAGACTTCAGGGATCAGATTTAAGAGAACAGTCTTCCAATGCAAACTGTACAATTACTAATACAACAGGTGGACAATTTTACTGAATAAGCTAAATCTCCTGTACTCTTGTTACATTTTTTCATTCAAATAAAGAATTAGACTGTAGTCAAAATATTCATAACATAAACCACCTATTTGAAAATTTGCTTCTTCTGTATTTACAGAATGTTGTCTGATGTTTTTTTAAAAATAACAATTTTCTAACTGCACTATTATCATTCTTTGATTTATAGAAATTAATTTGTTGCATGGTCTTTTATTTGTTTTCTAATTTTATTTTTCATTCATCTCTGATCCCAGAAAGTTCAAAATGTCCTTCAAATAAAGTATAGTTAATTAGTTCAATTCGTTTGTATAGCAGCTTTCTTCCTGGAGCTGTACGTAATTTACACAGTGTTTTCTCCTCCCATTTTTTTTTCTCCAGAACAACCTTTGACGTAGGTTGGGCTGGAATGAAAGGACTGGCTCAATGCACCCAGTTCCCTAGCTCAATGTGGACTTGAACCTGTTTCTCCCAACACTAGGTTCCAGAGTTCCATGGATGATTAGTATTCAGCAGGATTTATTTAAGGGCCCAGGAATTATCTAAAACATTAACAGTGTTACTGTTTGTACTGAAGTCAGCGACATGATAAAGATTAATCTGGAAGTTGTTCCATTATTCAGCCTTATTTGATTCCCCCCCCCAGTTTATTTCTTTCATGTGGTTAACTTCTCATTACAAAGTTGCAATTTACTTTGTGACCTTGTGCCAAAAAGGCCCTTCTTGTGTACCCCCACCTGTGTCAGTTTCCAAATTTGCATTGTATTTAAGGATGCAAGAAATGCAATTGCATAGTAAAGAGTTTTAGTCTCTGAAATGTAATTCCCCAAATAGAAAAATCTTCACAAGTCTTTATGGAACTGTAGATGGTGATGAGATTTACATCCTGCCATTATTTTATAGTTTAGTTTGGTAATAACAAGCATTGTAGCCCCCTCTTTTTATTTTAAGGCAAGGGCTGTAGCTCAGAGATAGATAATTTACTTTGAATTCAAAAGTTTTTTTTATTTTCAATTCCTGGCATGATGGAGATACCAATGAGGATCACACTTGCCTCAAATCCTAGTAAGCCATTGTTAGTCAACTTTGCCACCTTGTAATGGTTCATTCCATCTCTGGCTGTAACTGACAATACAGATCAATTGTCCTGGAAAGATAAATTGTTTGCCTACTAAGACCTTGTTAACCTTACTGGATTTTGCATGTGCTCTCTGGCTGTCATGTTAAATTTAATAACTTGTGAGCTGTATGAGAAGTTTTTTTTTTTATACACGGTCATCATTGACTTTACAACACCAATTTCCAACTTTACTTCTGTGAAGGTTATATATGACATTTGACAGCTTTTGAATTCTTTAAACCAGAAACATAATCAGAAAAAAGTAGCTGCATTTCGTTAAAATCATATTCACAGATGGCAGCGCTCTGAGTAATGATACAATTCGCTTAAAATTTCCTATATATATTCTTATTATTTTTATAAAAATTATACACACACAAACACACACATATATATAATTTTTTAAAGAAGTTTTTTGACAGAATAAAAACAATACAGATTTTAAGTTCAACATAAGAAAAATAAAAATAATCAAAAAGTGAAAAAAAGAAAAAGAACAGAAGAAAAATAGAATAATAAAGACGTGGTTCCCAATCTTAGCAACAGTTAAAAGTACATTTTATCATTTCTTTCTAAAGATTCATCAAAATTAATTCTAAAATTCTAATGCAGAAAAAGGTGAATGATCCAATTAGTTTAATAGCATCATCAAATTATGTTATATAAGGATTTATATGATTCACATAGAATTCTAAGTCATAATATGACTTGCATCATCCATCCATTTAGCATTCTGATTATAATGGTGCATCACACCTAATCACATAATTTGTGATTTCAAACTGTGATTAGAAAATATATCTTCAATTAGGCTTTCTGATTCTGTTTATTGGTCAGGAGTAAAACATGGCTTTGCAGTTCAGGTTTCATTTCAAACTGTAATCAAGTTTCATAGCCATGGGTAGGCATGATTCGTAAGGTAAACAATTCCATATAAATGAATGATCTACCAGTTTTTCTTCCCTGAATTCAGGAGACCTGGAATAATAACATAATGGATCATACTAAGTAATCAGTAATTGCAACATAGAAATGTCAGACTCTGGGCCCTACAATATTACCCACCTTGAAAGTTATATGAATTGAAATACAAATAGATAGACATTTGAATGCAAAAGAAAATAATAAGAATAAATTCTGATTGGGAAACAGAGTGAAACTCAGCAAATAAATTATATCCAATCTTTTTAAAAATTTGTGAGAGGTCAGAGAAGCTAGCCATCTGGCCCAGAGCTGCCAAGATTGCTCAATCTAATCTAAGACCAGATTCCTTGTGTGTCTAACTACACTTGATCAAATAAAGTACTCGATTCTTTTTTAAAACTTCCCTTGTTTATCATTGGCTTATCAATGTAACATATAGTCAAGCAGTTGATTTGAAAATATATGAGAGGGAGAGACCTTAAAATACATATTAACTTAAATAAAATAGTGAGAGCGCCTGATGAATGAGGAACGTGTAACAAACTGTGCTTCAGTAGGAACATACCTGCTGAAAAAGTGTGGTATCTTTGCAAATCAAATCATCTATGTTAAAAAAAGTTTTCAAAGGTAACACCAATTTGCTAGATTGGGTATATGACAAAGGGCTGCTTAATTCATAAATATACTGTATAAATTATTGCTGAGTTCTCAACTATACGATAGTCAATTGAAGTGACAGATCAATCCAATACAAAGCTATTGATGGGTACACTCATTGGAAAACACTGATAAATGTCAGTAAAGTAATATTTGGATAAACTGCAGGAGAGTTTGCTTTTAAAAAGAATCAAGCAGAAAACTAGCTAAAAGGACTAAACCATTGAACCTTTAATCAATTTCTTATTCATTTACAGAATGATATAATAAGAATATGATCTAGAGATTACTTTCAATTCCGAAGACATGCGTTTTCATGATATGGATCATTTTCTAGCATATACTGACATAGTATATTGTCTAAATACTAATGTGCGGAATTTTGCAAAATATATTATTAAATATAGCACTTTTTGTATATATATTTAATATGCATATGCAAAGTGCTAGATGCCAGGCAGAAGGGACAAAATATGAACCATAACCATTATGTGTACTTAGGGTAACTTGCAGATAGGATTAAAGTGTTCATATTAAGTATTGGGAAGGATTATGTAAGGAAAAGGATAGTCCAACTAAGGTAAGTCATCAATTAAATTCATGGCAAAAAGCCCTCAATCCATGGCTAAAGGACAGCAAACTAAGAAAGTCCCACATACTGTAGAAGCTTCCCATTCCATAATCCCAGTAATTGATATAATAATTCAATAATTTAATTTAGCTCTTGCATTCACACCTTTGGAAATCAAATATTTTCAAAGAACTTAACTTTCTTTAAAGACTTTAGTTCAGCATGAAAAGAATTAGAATGACAATTTGTGCATTTGTTCAATGATGATTATGTTCTTCTCATTTAAAAGACACCCATTGATTGCCAGTGGTTCGAGGATTTAATTCAAAATATCTTTAGAACTGCATGACTTGTTATGAATCTGCTGAACTCTTTTAAGATCTGCAGTAGAGGCCTTTGGAAAGTTTTCCCAGGAGTGCATGAAGAGCTCTCCCCCAACTGCTCTCCAATTAAGGAATACTCTTTCTTTCGAAAGTTCAAATGTCTTTCTCCTGTTTTTAATATTTTCTTTTTTTCTTGGAATACTGCCTTGCAGTTCTTTGTGAAAGAAGGTATATAAGTGTGCCCAATATATAAAATTAAGATAAATAATAAATATATTATTAGGACCACACCAGTGGCTGATTTTTTGAAATATGGGACTTTTAGAGTTAATTCCCAGGGTTTTTTTTCCCCCTTGCCTCTTCTTTCCAGGCTCGCCGTATCCTAGATATTACTCCTGTGAAGGAACTTGTGAACCTGAAGTGGAACACATACGGGCGTCCTTATTTCTGTTTCCTGGCTCTGTTTTATGTCCTCTATATGATTTGCTTCACCATGTGCTGCGTTTATAGACCACTGAAAAATCGCTCAGATAATCACACGAATGCGCGGGATAACACCATCATTGTGCAGAAAACATTGGAGGTATATTGGTGCATAACTACAAGTTTCTCTGTGAATCTAGGCAAATTGTAAAATAACTGTCTTCAAAATGTAGCACAGAAGAATCAACAAAGTTAAATAAAGTTTTAAACTTTGTAAAAACCCTTTGAAAATGCTCCCAAGCGGCCATGAAGAAAACGACTACCACAATTGTGAGAACAGTTTAAAGATAAGAAAAAAAAAATTCACTGAATTTGCCAGCAAGGCTCTGGCTTTCAGTAGCTTTTCTCAAATGAGTCGTTCTTACCTGATCCAAAGACAAATACTCCACATTTCTTAGATGGAAGATTAAAAAATGAAAGATGTTTCCTGGTATTCAACTGTATCTCTTTAGCCTGTAAATGGAAATTAGCATTAATTTACAACACTCCCTGCTGTAAAAGCAAGGTAGCTTTCTTTCTTTCACTGGCCTACAGTATTTTGGTTTCCTGTGTTCAGGAAAGATTTGAAGGTGGGGTAATGCATGTTACTTGTGCAAGGTCACCTTTTGGTTCATCTTTCCAATCACAATTTCACTTATCAAATCAATGTTGCCAAAAGAGAAGTAATTAAACTAAACTACACTACATTAATTAAATGTCTTGATGATACCAGTTCCAGGTTTTTCATCATTTCCTTAATCAGGATACTTTCCTGTTTTTAGGAATCATATCTGACCTATGAGGATCAACTCAGGCTTGTGGGAGAGTTAATTACAGTGATTGGAGCCATGGCAATTTTACTCCTAGAGGTAAGGACGAAAGAATAAAGTTCTATTAAACTGATCTTCATTGAAGTATACCAACATCAGATTGGCAGTTCTATCTGCCATTGGAGAGACCCTGTATACCTAAGCAATCCTATGTTATCTGGAATCAATATAAGTGTCTTCAAAAACATGATGCTCCATATGCCACCTGTACTTCTGACTTTCTTGTTGGGAAGTATCCAGAATTAATTTTTGTTTTGGAAATTAAGTAATTATAGATGAACTGATTGTGGATGAATACAGCCGGTAATTGTTAGCAGGACCTGCATATGCTGTAATAAAATAATTGATCAATATTAACGATTTGAATTCATTTTTTAAAATCACTGTCTTACTGAATGTTACAGGCTTAAGGTATTTTATATTTTTAATCAGAGGTCTCCAGACTTAACAACTTTAAAACTTGTGGACTTCAACTCCCAGAATTCTCCAGACAGCTATTCTGGGAGTTGAAGTCCACAAGACTTAAAGTTGCCAAGTTTGGGGGCCCTGTTTTAAATTGTACCCTGTTTGGAGCATTTTAACATCTTTTCACCTTTTGCTTGTTTAATTACCAATATTAAAAAAAAAAAATTGAATGTCTGTATTCTGCAAAATTGCTACTCTTAACACGAAGTGGTTTAGATCGCTGACTTATCAAAGTGTTGCTAACTAGTTAAAAGGAGGTGACATTTTTGATTGCCGATTGTTGTAGTGTATAGGTTTCCCTTTATAAAATCATGTCAGGTTCAGGTAGCCCTTGACTTATAACAGTTCGTTTAGTGACCATTCAAAGTTACAGTGGCACTGAATAATGTGACTTACGAACTTTTTTACAGTTACAACTTTTGCAGCGTTCCTCATGATCATGTGATCAAAATTCAGATGCTTGAAACTGGTTCATAGTTATGACTGTTGCTACGGCCCAGGGTCATATGTGATCATCTTTGACGAGCTTCTGATGAGCAAAGCCAATGGGGAAGCCAGATTCAGTTAACAACTGGGTTACTAACTTATCAGTGATTCATTTAACAACTATGGCAAGGAAGGTCGTAAGATGGGGCAAAATTAACTTAACAACAGAAATGTTGGGCTCAATTGTCATAATTGGGCTCAATCATAAATCGAGGAATTGTTGTTGTTGTTGTGGCATTGTCCTCATAATGGCTTGTTTTTCTCTATTTTTTCCTTGACCCGGGCACAAAATATGTTCTGACCTCTATACTGTTGAAGCAATTTCTAGAGGTAGACTTGACATATTGGTGATTTTAGTCCTCAGTTGATTATAAACTTTTGATATATATTTCATTTTTTTATAGATTCCAGATATTCTAAGAGTTGGAGCCACAAAGTACTTTGGACAAACTATCCTGGGAGGACCTTTTCACATAATAATGTGAGACTCTACAGTTCCAAAACTCAAATACTCTTTTTTTTCTTATATATACTCTGCCATTGTAATTTTCCTTTCACCATTTTTCTCTTCTTTTTCTATCCGCTTCAAATCCAGATTTCTTTCTTTTCAAATTTGTGTCTCTTAACATCTGTTTAAGTTCTGGTAGAGTTGACTGCTGAATTTCCTGAAAAATTTGAAATTCCTCAAATGTTTTAACGTGAGGCACATTAAAATGGACAACAAACAATTTTTCACAAGAAATGCCTTGTTCCAGCAAAAGGGGAAAAAGAGACTCTCTATGAATGCACATGAGCATATATTTACATGTATTGTCCGTTTAGGGCTCAATTCTATCTCAATTAATTTTAGGTTGTATTAATTAATTAATTACTCATTCTTACTTAGTTATATTTACCATTTACAGCATCACATATGCCTGTGTGATCCTGATAACCATGGTAATGCGACTCACCAGCACAGAAGGAGAAGTGGCCCCCATGTCCTTTGCCCTGGTGTTGGGCTGGTGCAATGTCATGTACTTTGCACGAGGATTTCAGATGCTTGGGCCTTTCACCATCATGATACAGAAGGTAAGGAAAGTAAAGCTAAAAACTGAAGTCAAACTGAAGAAGAATTCCACAGGTGGTCCTTAACTTACAACTATAAGTGAGCCTACAATTAATGGTTGCAATGCAGTCATAAGTCAAGGCGTTGCATGACTGAATCAATTTTGCAATAGTTTGTTTGATAGTTGTTAAGGAAACGCCGCAGTGATTAAATCAATCAATTTTTCCCAGTGGGTGGTTTGTGTGTTTGTTTTTGTCAGAAACTGGAAGTCAATGCCAGAAACTGGCTAGAAATGTCACAATTTCTGTCACAATGGCAAGGAATGCTGCAAATGGCTGTAAAGCTGAGCTGGTTGCTAAGCAGCCAAAACGCAATCACATGACTGCAAGGGTGTGTGTGGATGTTGTAACTTCAAAAATGGGTTGTAAGTAGCTTTTGGGTGTGTCCAGTGTAATTTTGAATAGTTGTTAAGTGACTGGTTGTAAATTGAGAACTACTGAATTTATCTCAGAAGTACACCTTTTCTAATAATTGGAACTGAGAATTTAAAGATCAGACAATAGTGGGTTGGGAACAGTAGAGTTGGAGAAAAGTTAAACAAAATAACATTGTTGTTTTATCTTCTCTACAGATGATATTTGGTGACCTTATACGTTTTTGTGGGCTAATGGCTGTTGTCATATTTGGCTTTGCCTCAGGTGAGCTCTAAAGAAAGATGTGAACTTCCAAGATTATCTCAGTATTCTTTGAATATGCAGTCTGAGAAACTGTTAATGTTCTTATGCTATTCATCATTTCTCCAGTGGAAAAAAAAATTCCTCTATATTTCCAGTTTTTTAAATTGTATCCATGTTTTTGTAATAGTAATGGTTTTCATAAGAACCCTGGAATTTTATGGAATTTCAAAGTGTGCAAAAAATCAATATTAGCAGATAATGCAATGTAAAACTTAAAATATTTGATATTCAATGCTGAGTTTTCACTGTCATGCATGTGGAAGTGCTGGACATATGTTCAGTGAATATGATCAGTATACCAGCTTAGCAATATTGACTGGTGTCTGAATAAAATGCATTATAAATTGGAGTGGGAGGCTCCAAATTAGTGGAAGAAATGGAGGAATAAATAGCAGGAAATATTGTTATCAGTCTGTTGGTGGCCATTTTTAAAAGGGATTCATCCAAAATGTGTTAAAATTTGGGGTCAACGTGCTCCTAAATATTAGTGGAAGAAATGGAGGAATAAAATAGCAGAAAAAATTGTCAGTCTTTTGATGGCCATTGTTAAAACTGAGAAGAACAAGTCCTTTGCTCTAATCTAGCATGATTTTTATGTTTGGGAATTCTATAGGAAATGTACTGAGGTTTCTTATTGTGCAACCTTTTAAGAACAGAATGTTCTTAAGATACAAAGTTTAAAAGCCATTATTTTAAATGGTGATTTACCCTGAGCCTTCTGTTATCCTGGCTTCTCTCTATATATATTTTTTGAAATGTACTATTGCACATTGTTCCCTACCGAACACACCTAATGATAGATTTTGCTCCTTTTCATCCATACCTGCATACCACATGTTTAAAATTGCTTGCCTCTCATCTGCTTTTGTGGGACTTCCACAGCATTGAATATCAGCATCTAGTTATTCAAGTTATGGAAGAGAAGAAAAGAATTTACATGCCGGCCTTAGAATTTTCATGAGAATTAAGAGAGGCTATTAACCTTCAGGACAAGTAACTCACAGAGAAAACATCAGCAGAAAGGTAGATAAGGATTTAAGATTCTTGTGGCAGAGTAGTTGAAAGGAATAGTGTAAGATGAAGATTATCTGGTTGTGTGTGTGTGAGTGTATATAGGATGTATATGTAGCTGACTGCTCATTTTTGTTTCATCAACAGCTTTCTACATCATCTTTCAGACAGAAAATCCAAGCAATCTGGGACAATTCTATAATTACCCCATGTCTCTCTTCAGTACGTTTGAGCTCTTCCTTACCATCATAGATGGACCAGCCAACTATGATGTGGATCTGCCATTCATGTTCTGTGTGGTGTATGCTGCTTTTGCTATCATTGCTGCTTTGCTCATGCTCAACCTGCTCATTGCTATGATGGGTGACACTCATTGGCGAGTAGCCAATGAACGAGATGAGCTTTGGCGAGCACAGGTGAGATTATAGGCATGCAGTGCAGTTCAATCTATTGAGAAGTTATCTATTTTTGCTGCTTTGGACATGTCTGCAGTAGAAATTTAGACTACTTTACAAATGATTTACTTGCTATGGCTCCCAATGAAGCATTTCTGGTGTCTGTGACTCTAAAGGGTACTGGGGTGTCCCAGAATTATATTTTATAATTTTCCAGTATAGTATATTTTGAAGAAATCATAACAATTAAATAAACTAGTCTATGTTAAGGTAAAATTATAATATTGATATGCTCTTATACTGCAAAGTTGTGTTATGGATGCCACTACTATTAGCTGGGAGCTAATATAATGTTAACTCTTTCTAAATATTTTATTTTCCACTATTGATAATACCATCATCACACTTAGCTGCTAAATTAATCTGGAATTTTAATTCATTTAATGAATGAATTCCAATTCACTAAATGAATGTATACTTTTCAACATACAGGCTTGTAGATATGAATGAAAAATGTAAGGATTCAGATCCACCATGCATGGCTAGTGAGGGAAGAAGTGACAATGTACTCATGTGGAAAGAACTGAGTCCAGAGACAATCTAAAAACCTCACAATTAGTTTCTAGAATGAAGCATGCAACCTGTGCAAAACATTGAGCTCACAACAAACATGGTGGAACTCACTTTTGTGCAAACATATTATATTACATTCAAATCCATTTCCCTTTTGCTTATGGGTAATGTGTAGTTTTTAATAGCTGAAAAGTCTTTTCAAATTGTTCATAATAACACAATGTAATGTTGAAATTATTTTTGAATAGTTAAAGCTAAAATTAAGATATAACCATTTGAAAGGTACTTAGAATAAAGAAACAACTGTGATTATTCCCCCATATACCTTTTCTCATTCCTGCTGATACAGTAATGCTGTGTCCATGTTGTACAATCTGTAAACGCCACTTCATGTGGTAGCATGCTCTGTCAGTCAAATTCTTTTCTGTTACAGATTAATTAAGTATCCAGCAAATAAAGTTTAATCTATCTTCCTCCTCCTCCCCCTCCCTCCCCCCAAAATTAGGTTGTCTTCTAAATATTATTTTATGCTAGAAAATCATTTGATTTCTTGTCTATGCGTGAAAGAGGAGAAATTGTTTTGAGCGTGAGAAGATGAAACATTTTTTAAAAGAAACTCAAAGCAAGCTCTTCTACCCCACATTTTTCATCCTGGGAACACACGTTTAGACAGCATAGTAATTCATGCTGAGTGCCTATCATCAAGGCTACAGAAAAATTGGCCACTTAATATATAAAAACAACTCTCATAGTACATAACAGAATCACTTATTAAGCATGATTGTGAAGGCTGTGACCATCTTTGCACAAACAGTCACAGAAATTATTCAAGAAAGGAAGCAAGAGCAATAGATTAATCTCAGCATAGCCTTTGAACTACATTAACAAAAGAAAAACATATTTCAATGAGTACACACGGAGGGAGGGAGGGGAGAGAGAGAATGAATGAATGAATGAATGAATCTACCTAATGCATATGAGTAATATTTTTATTATATGTGTGTGTGTGTGTGTGTGTGTGTTTTCTTAAGTTTTTGCGGGTACTTACATGTATGGTATTCAGCTTTGTTCGGGTATTTTCCCATGTCATTATAGTTGTGCTTTTAAAGTTGTAGCAACGTTTCGGCAGAATCTCATCTGCCATCATCAGGCTTCTGTATTGTGTTCATCTGTGAGTCAGAAGAAACAGCTGTGAAAGTCTGACTCACAGATGAACACAATACAGAAGCCCGATGTATGTATGTATGTATGTAATTTTGCCTTTGGTCACCACTGTACATCTTAAAAATCAAGGCAACCTACTTTTCCATTTGACAACCTGATAGCCCAAGAGTACAGTAGCACAGTGTACATGCTAATACAATTCAGAGCAATAACATTCTATTACCAACAATCAATTAATTTTCCTATAGGATAAAATGTACTGTAACTTAATCTCAGAATATTGCCCACCTAATTCTCCCTCACTTCTCCCTTTCCCTCCTCAACCAGTTCTAAAAAAAGACAACAGGGATGCAGTCTTTGCTGTATTAGCTTATCAGATGTCTTGGTTTGGAGGATTTTTTAAAAAGAAGCTAATCAATCACAGAACATTCTTTCACTTGAGATGAAATTTCAAAACATGGGATATCTTGTTAGTCTGGAACACACAAAAGGATTACTTTATGTTCAGGATGTTCTTGCCTATGGCTGTTGAGCTGAAATCTGAACAGTTTGAAATCACGTGCCTACAATCTGATTATGTCAGTGAGAATACTTATATATGAAACTTTATTTTACATAACTTGCTAGCTTGTGGTTTTAACTGAATACCACTATTTATTCAGTGCTTGTAAAATTAAACAAATCTTAACTGTTTGTTTATATGAAGAGTACAAAGACAGAGCTACTTCACAGCGATAATAGAAAACTAATTCAAGCATAATCACATTTGCCACTGAACATTGTGAAGTGGATTGTGAAGTGGAAGGAGCCCCATTAGCTAAGTGCACCTGGCTCTACCTGCTGAGAAATGTATTGTGAGGCAGTGTGCAGATTGTATTATGGGTATTTCCTTCAAAACTCAGCTTTCATTTACAAAAGCTGAATTGTTTATATTCACATGAAGCCTCCCACCATAGTGGAGAATTCGTTATTTTTTTAAAACAGTTGTATTCCCTACCAAATCAAAAGACTCTCAACACCATTAGCATTTAGCACAGTTGAAGTAGTAGTAAAATGCACCATCTCTTGTCATCTTAAAAATCCCATAGGGGAGAAAGCTTTACCAACTTCTGGGGATGTAGAATTGCCTTCTTGTCCATGTCCCCTAACTCCAGCCCTCGCTGAGAGATTCCCACAGGACGGGTGGATTTAATTCAGAAAAAGCAGTGCCTGATAAGACTTAGAGCTACACAGATAAGACTCTGTAGGTCATTTATCAATATTTTGAACTGAGCCCATTTGAACATTAAAGGAGAGATGTTTTGTGCAAGGATGGACTGCCCACCAAATCTTATTGCCACATTCTGGACCTGTTGCTGCCTCAAGATTGACCCAGAGGCTGGCGCTTTATAGAGCATGAAAAAAGTCACCTAGCCAGATGATGATCAAGACTCCCAAATATCACTTGAATCATCTTAAGTACTTGTCTGTTTCTAATTTTAGCAGAAAATTGCACTGTAAAACAGATGGTTGCTTTTGATTTTGTGTCTGGTCCCATTTGTATGATTCCCCCCCCCTCTTTGGTTCCACTTAACTTAATTCTAATAAATTAAACTTAATGAATTATTTGAACCACTTTCTATTTTATTTTTGAATACAAAATTTTGCCTGGTTTTGTGGCAGGATTGAACTGATCTGTTTGCTTTCATACAGGTTGTTGCTACTACAGTCATGCTTGAACGGAAACTCCCACGATGTCTTTGGCCTCGGTCTGGCATTTGTGGCCAAGAGTATGGGTTAGGAGACAAGTGGTTTCTCAGGTGAACTCCTTTTACCTAACTGTATATTGCCTACAGGAATAGTGTCCAATATAGTTAATAAAATTAGTTAAAATATATCTAGGCATTTGGGAATAAGAACATAAAAAGCTGTTTATACCAAGCAGATACAAAACACTAGTCTGTTTAATTCAGGCTAAATTGATATCCAGCTTTTTTTTAAAAAAAAAGGCTTTTTGTTTTTTATTTGGAAATATCAGTGACTGAATCTCAATCTGGAAATTATGTTTTCTAACTAAGGGCAGAATTTGAGATTGGCACTCAAATGTGAAGTCAGAGGATAATAATACAAACCATGTCCAATACTTCTATTACTGCTTTCTACTTTGCGGGATTCAAGTTGCCTAACCATTACAAAGTCCAGATTTACATGCCCTACAGTTAGGTGTACATCCATTCCCATGCTATCAAAACTGGGTCCTAGGTTCAAACCAGCATTTTTGTGGTTCAAAATATTGAGAGCTGGACAATAAGAGAGCTTTATCAATGGCATCAGAATCTGGAATCTGCTTGTTGGAAAGTTAGATTGATTAGTTCTGGCCTTTAACTTGTTTTCATAATGAAGGGAGCTTGGCTAAACCTGACATGTTAGTTTCATGATGCTTTTATTTTTATTTTTTTAAAATCAAGTTTTTATTTATTATACAATAATCAAGTGTTGCACCTAATCATCCTACATTTTGGTGCAAACAGAAATAACAATCACATCCCTTACATTCATCATACTTATATATATATAAAATTCTAATATTGATGCACATATTTGTAATAATTTATAATCCTTCATTAGTTAATTATTCAACATTCCAATACCTCCTTCTTATGCCAATCACCATATTATTTAAACATACATAATAATTCCTTATTCAATTTCTTCTTCTTTTTTTTGTGTGTGTGTGTGTATAATCTTTTTGGGCAAGCAGTGTGGTTCCACATTTCAGTACAAACATGACTATAGTTACATATCCATCTTTCTTATTCAAATTCATCTCACATTATTACTTTTTCTATTTTCTTTTAAATATTCCTAAATATATTCATTAAACTTATCAAATTTCAGTTCATAATTTAACTTAATTCATTTTTCTTAAAATATTCTCATATCTTGCTTTACAATATTATCTAGGATTCTTATTTCTTTTCTATATTCATTACACATATTACTTTTATCTGTCACATTTGCAATTTTATCACATGTTATTTCATTTATTATTCAATAATTCCATCCTCATTCTTAGTTAAAAAATTGTCAATTAGTTGTCAATTCAAGCTTACCACCTGTTTGCCTTATGCTTTCCTCCGTTTATTCCTTTTAATTCATTATAATTACCTCACTCTGCATTAATAACAATATTCTCCTGTCTACTACATATCACATATACATATATTTTAAGTCAGATTCCGCATAGTATTCTTTCTTTCAATCACCTTGTAAATCATCTATAGTAAAATATTAATCTATTCAATTAATTATAAAGATCTTTCCTTCAATTCCTTATTCTTATATATACCTTGCAGAATCTTCTTCCCTATTATTCTTTTACCCATTATCTCTCACCCTTCTAACTATGTAATTTCTTTTCATTCTTATTTGCTTCCTGTTTCTCTTTCTTTTCTGGTCCTTTCTCAATTCTCCTTTTTCCCATTATTATTTCCCTCCATTTCTCATTCCAATCATTTATTTTATCCCCCTCCCTCTCTTCTGCTTTTTCCCTTTAACTTTCCGAACCATTCCCCATTTCATTATTACATCAAACCACAAATTTTTAGCTTTAATTCTTTTTCCCCCCTGTTTAAATGGTCGTCATTCCATTTGATCTTCAAGACTGGTTTCCTCTTTATTTAACTCCTCCCCTTCTGGTTCTCTTTGTTCTTCTTCAAACTGAGTCACCATTTCTAATTTTTGCAATATATTGCTGCACATTTCCAGGCTTACTTTCATCATTTCTTTCATATCTCGTAGATCCAATCTCATTTCCACAAATAGTTCTCCCATTTTTTAGGCTGCTCCCCCCCCCCCCCATTTCCTTGATAATTATACAATCAAAATGTCCAGTAAGCTGTTTCAACCAGCATCTTTTATATTTAATTTCAACAATCAATGTCCATTAGTCTTTGTTTCCAGGTTCCTTTTATTGGTTTTTCCCAAAGTCACCGGATAGTTCCAAAGCAATTTCTTCAGATATCTTCCCCTTTGTAATATTCTAGTATTTCACTTTTCAGGGTTTTTCAGGGTTTTTGTTTTATTATAATGGAGTTCCTCTTATTTTCTTTTTAAGTTCCAAGTCAATTTTAAAAAGACCAAACACTTTTCAAAAAGTCACTGAATTTTTTCCTGTACCATTAGGTGGCGCTCTCAATTCTGTTTCCACGTTGCACTCTTTCCTTTTTTATATATATATAAAGCTTTTGTTAATTTTGCTAATTCCAATTATTAGCTATTATTTCTTTTCAACACATTCAATTCCAGCATTTACATATGCCTATTTAGTACCAAAAATCCAATAATTATCCAATTTAAATTCCAAGCCTTTTGTGTTCAAATATGTTCCTCTAAATTTTCACCTCCAAATTAATTCTTTCAATATTCAAAGCCAGTTTTATGAGTTCCAATTTTCTTCTTTCTCTCTCTGGTCGCTGCTTCTACATACTTTCACAAAATAGTTCTTTATTCCTTAATTCCAGGGTACCTTAATATCCATATGTTTAGTCTGATTCACACTCTGCTCACAACTGTACCTCTCCAGCACAGTCTTAGTTTCCCGTCTTTGTGGTGGCCATTTTTGACCACCGCTGCAACTTGTCTTCAGAGGGGGTTTATCCTGTCAGGGAAGGGAGATGTGGCTCCCCTCAACCCTCCAAGCGATTCCCTCTTTCTTCACCATCCCTCCAGGGTGGTTCCAGTCCCAATTGGGACCCTCCAACAAGTGAGTTCGGAGCGAAACTGCGCACAATCGCGGATTCCTCTGCGACCACGACGGTAGAGCAACGGAAGCCAGTTTCATGATGCTTTTAGTGTGAGGAGTGTAGCATGTGTTCTTTTAGGATTTTTTAAATAAGCCACCCAGGTTCATCTCGAATTGGGTGGTCTCTAAAATAAATAAGTCATTACTTTTATTTGCTCTCCTTTTCACAGGGTGGAAGAGCGTCTGGATATCAGCAAGCACAAGATGTTACGTTATGCAGAGGCATTTAAAAACCAAGACAAAGAGGATTTTGATAAGGATTCTGGGAAACTATACCAACCCAAACCTTTCCAAATCAAGAAAGAAACATCTCCATCGGTCTCACGAAGTAATACTCAAAGTAGCTTCCACCGTGGTTGGCAAATCCTGCGGAACAATACCTTCAGCCACCTTGATGGGGAAGTAAATCATGCTTTGGAAGAAGAGATCTATCACCTCTGATATGCCTCTTGAATAACTGGTCACATTTACTGGTGCTTTGTGCTGCTTCACAAATTCTGCAGTAGTTGGTGGGATCTGGGGGCAGTAATATCAGGATTCAGGATGACTTCAATCTTCCTAAGTTCATCTTTTTCCTTGTTCTCTAAATGACCAACTCTGCCAAAAATTTAGATTAAAACAAGAAAAAAGATAAACCAGCTAACTTCTAGCATTCGGTGGCGCAGTGCAGTACTGCAAGCTGCTACTGTGCAGTACTGCAAGCTGCTACTACTGCAATTTGGCAGATCGAATACCACCAGGCTCAAGGTTGACTCAGCCTTCCATCTTTTCGAGATGGGTAAATTGAGGACCCAAATTGTTGGGGGCAATATGCTGACTCTAAACAGCTTAGAGAGGGCTGTAAAGCACTATAAAGCGGTATATAAGTCTAAGTGCTATTGCTGTTGCTATTCCAGAAACTTTTTAAAGAGGTTGAGCATTAGTTTATTGCTTTCCCATTGTTCCACCAAAAGATTGAAAAAAAGTTGCTGTTATTTTTTATATAGGACTCCAGTGCACTTTAAGTTAAATAGGTGACATGGAATTTTATCCCAGGTACAATTTTTGTAGTCAATAGGATAGTATTTCTTTTCTTGGCTGAATTGAATTCCGCTAAAGTTTCCCTTGGGGAGAGGAATAATGAAAAGGTTTACAAACTTAATTGTATTAATATACAGCCTCCTCTGTTTATTCTTGCTGGCTTGGAATCAAGCCTGTTACTACTCTTGACCTGCTACTATACAGGACTAGAATTTTGCTTAGAGCAAATCTAAAAATAAAACCCTAATTAAATAAAATCCTAACTTTAAGTCTAACTTAGTAGGTGAACTTCCCAAAAGTATTGTGTTTCCCTAAGAAGACATCAAGATTTGCTTAAAGTAGTATACAAAGTAATACTAAACATTTTTACTCAGCCAAAAATAACTGCAATTAATTTGAGTGAAATGTTTCAGAGGGCTTTTCGCACTCTACTTCCAAAGTGATGGTTCAGAGTTGGCCTTTCCTACAGATCCAACTTGAAAAGATCATCTTTCCAAATATAAAGTGAAGCAAAGCAAGTGCTGCTTTAATTTATCTCTAGCTTTCTTACCACTTCAAACTTTACTCCAGAAGGAAAAAGCCAATATTTAATCACTTAAAGCAAATTAATAACTTATGCCTTTCCAGCAACTGAGTGGAAAATTACTCCAATTCCTTTGCAGCAGGAACAATGAGAGAAGGTTCTAGCTGGTCATATTTGCCTTTCAGTTGCCCTCGTATATTGACCTGAACTATGTAGCATTAAAAAATGATGCAGACAGTTTTCAGGCATTGTCAGCCTGATTTCTGCTTGATGTACTACTGCATGAACTTGGCTCTGGCCTTAAGGATGAGTTGGCTTGATTCTCATTCCATAACGAAAATGCATTTTCTATGCACAGATGTCTGACAACTCAGGAACTTCTAGCTGTATTTTAAGGTTTGTCACACTGGCCAAGGGTTCCTGAAGGACTCTGCCTGCTACTAATGACCTTGCTCTTGGCTGAGCTTGAGAAAAGAAAGCTATGAGTGCATTATTAGACATACCTTCAGGGACCAATTAAATGTTGGATGGGAGGATGCCACTTAAATTGATTTCAAACCCAGATGATGCCTCTCTGCCACCTCGGAACTTCTCTGAACTCTGAACTCACAGACTTGGGGTGAGGGAAGGATTTCTAAAGAAGAAATAGGGAGGAACTTTTTTATCCAAGGATGAAGTTCAGAAGCTACCTCTTCAAGTTGAAGTTGGAGATTTGTCAGATCACTGTGATGAACTGAACTAGTCTTTATTAGTTATGGCTATATGTATTTCCTTTGTAGAATGTTGCACTGTATGTCTGTGAAAATACATATTTGCACATGTATAAAACTGATCTATGATGCTTTAGGGAGTTTGAAAGGTAATTTCATTTTATGTCTTAATATTCTGATTTCATATTCTCTCAAATGAAGTATTAGTTAAATTCCTTAGGGGTTATTAATAGTTTAGTAATTTATCTAGCTGGCACAGATCTTAGTTTCTCCAAGTAATTGGACAAGGATTTGAATTAGATTGGACATTGGTTTGGATTAGAAATGATTGGACAGGCACTGAAGATGTTACCTAGTCTGCTAATAAAACAACTATAAAACCATAAAACAAAGCAAACAAACAACCAAGCTCAGAGATCACCAAGGACATGCAAGGACCTGCGCCATGGCTCACATCATCTACGATGTAATTAATGGGGTACCAGGATATTTGGGGCAGGGGCATTGGTCTTTTTTCCTGGACTCTGCCAGTAAATTGTGTTTTAGAATATCCATTAATTAAAATACAATCCTGCTAACAGGAATAGAATACATAGTTTCAGCTCTCTAACATTCAGCTTTTGGAGACACAGGATTTTATCAGTGGTGATTTTTTTTAGTAAGGTAGTAATGAATGAATGAATGAATTCTTTAGTGGCCAAGTGTGATTAGACACACAAGGAATTTGTCTTGGTGCATTTGCTCTCAGTGTACATAAAAAGAAAAGATACATTCGTCAAGAATCATAAGGTACAACACTTAATATAGAGTACAAATAGGCAATCAAATCATACTAGGAAACAGTCAATATAAATTGTAAGGATACAAGCAACAAAGTTACAGTCATACAGTCACAAGTGGGAGGGGATGTATGATAGGAGTGACGAGAAGATTAATAGTGATAGTAATGCAGACTTAGTAAAATAGTTTGACAGTGTTGTGGGAATTATTTGTTTAGCAGAGTGATGGCGTTAGGGAAAAAAACTCACCTTGTGTCTAGTTGTTCTGGTGTGCAAAGGGTCATTTTTGAGGGTAGGAGTTAAAACAGCATAACTAAACATAAAATGGGTTTAATAGAGAAAGAAGAACTGGCACAGAAAATTAGAAATGCTAAACAGAATTATTTTGAAGATGCAAATAAACCAGGTAGAAGGTTAGCATATAAATTGAGAAAGGAGAAAGAATCAAGAAAAATACCGCAGTTAATAGATGACCAAGGCCAAGTTTGTCATGGTAATAAGGAGAAAAAGGAAATTATTCGAGACTTTTATGGGCAACTATATAAACAAGAGAATATTGATGAGGAAAAAGTTAAACAGTATTTACAGAATGCTAACCTACCTAAGATATCTAAAGAGACTGAAGAAATGCTGGAAAGCAATATAACAATGATGGAATTAACTGAAGCACTTAAGAAACAAAATAATGTTATTTGAAAATTCCAGTTTGGTTATCGACTATTGAAGCATTTTCCTATCCTATAATTTATAAGAAGGAACAAACAGTTAGATATGGGGAACTATTGGATGAAAAGGGTGAACTTAAATCGATACAAAATTTAGAGGAACAAGAGATAAAGATGAATTGGTTTTCATATGCGCAAATACACTCAAGGTATGATGAAGATTTTAAAACAGGGATTTTATGATAAACAGACTGATCTAGATAAGATTTTGACAGGTACCGATGAGAAGGTGATCAAAAAATTATATGGTTATTTACTGGGAATTAAACTAGAGGAAGAACAAGTTAAAGAAACTATGATTGTTTGGGGGAAGAATTTTGGATATGGGATTGATTTAGAGAAATGGCAAAAATTATGGTCGCAAAATTATAAAATGACAATGTCAATAGCTTATAAAGAAAATTTGTATAAGATGTTTTACAGGTGGCATTTTCCCCCGACGAGGATAGCAAGAATGTTCAAGAATAAATCTGAAAAATGCTGGAAATGTCATCAGATACCTGGCTCATATTACCATATGTGGTGGACTTGTGAGGATGCTAGAAAATATTGGACTAAAATCCGCATGTGGTTGGAAAAAGTGACAAAGAAACGCATAGATTTGAAACCGGAGTTTTTTAAATTGGGAATCTTACCAGATACATACAGTAAAGACTTGAAATATCTGATTGTAAATGTATTAACAGCGGCTAGGATTGTATTTGCTAAAAATTGGAAAAATGAGAAAATACCATTGCAGGAAGAAATTATTAAGAAAATATTGGAATGTGCTGAGATGAGTAGATTAACATTTGAAATTAGAGAGCAAGAGGAGAAACAATTTTATGAAATTTGGGACCTTTTCTATCAATGGTTGGATGATAAAATATAATAATGGAATATTTAGAATGTTAGATAACAAGGAATATCTTTGCTTTTTCTTTTTCTTTAGTTATTTGACATTATATCTATAAAGTGTTTTTAGGATAGATTTGGTATGATTATATGATTTGTTATAGAATAAACTATTTAAACTATAGTTATCTCATAAAGTATGAATGAATAAAATTATAGTCAAATGATTTTCTAACAGCGATACTAGGATATATAAGTTTGGATTGACAATATGAGTTATTATGTAATGTAACTGTAATTGAGACTACGAAATGAATGCACAAAACTGATGAACCAACCGACACACTGTTTGTATATATATATGGAAGAGAGCTGATGTTTTTATGTCTTGTTTGTTTTGTTTGTTTTTTTAAAAAAAGTCAATAAAATTGTTTTCAAAAAAAAAAAAAAAACCGTTTATGTCCAGGATGTGAGGGGTTTCACAGCTTTCACAGCTTTTTTGGAAATATGTATTGATGAAGCAGAAAGATATGAATATAAATCACATTGTAAATCTCTTGAAGCTTGTCAAGATTTGCTTTAGAGCAGGCTTGTCCAACCCGCGGCCCACGGGCCGCATGCAGCCCAGGTCGGCTTGTAATGCGGCCCAGTGCAATTTTTTATTTTTTAAGAAATTCCAAAGTTTCAAGTTACACTGCCGGCGCTTGCAGCCGGAATGCGGCCAGGGCACGTCACAACAGTGACGCCAGCGCACGAGCGCGCTTCACCTGCCCCATCCATTATATTAGCTCCGAGAGGCCACATCTTGCGGCCTGTGCTGAGTATGGGTGAGCGCGTCACAAAAGTGACGCCAGCGCGCCAGCTTCACCTGCCCCCTGTCTATTTTAGAAGCTCCGACAGGCCACATCTTGCGGCCTGTGCGGAGTGTAGATGAGCCAGTTGAACTGTATTGCACTGCGGCCATCACTGTCGCGCAGCGCTCCCCCACTGTTGTGCAAGGTCGGACTGGCCCACCGGGGACCTAATGAAACACCCAGTGGGCTCCGACCTGCAATAAATTAGCTCATTTTTGCCGTGATTGATAGCGGCTTTTAACTGCTGCGTAGGCCGCCATCTTTCTGCAGGATTTATTATTCCCAGTATACAATGTCTGCAGGATTTATTATTCCCAGTATACAATGTCTGCAGGATTTTATATTCCCAGTATACAATGTCCGCAGCCCTGTTCCTTCTCTGTCTCCTCTGCAATGTTGTGGCCCTTACTGTCTTACCTTGTACATTATCATACCAGGCACACATCTACGCACAACAAGAGGCAGCATCCTTAACGGCAGTCCTCAACTGCAGCATCCATAAAGGCAAACAGTCCTCATCCCAGCATCCGAACTCTCAGGTAAACCACTTTCTGGTAGTCTCCTGTCATTCTCCACCCACATAGCTCCATCTTTAACCAAGATCTTCTCTCCCTCCAGGCATCCATTACTTCAGGCCTCATACCAGCATCCATAAAACCAGACAGTCCTCATACCAGCATCCATTAAAGCAGACAGACTTCATTCCAGCATCCTAACTCTAGGTAAGCCACTTTCTGGTAGTCAGGAGACTAAGGCTGGGTTCACACAACGGATTTTGACACAAAATTGGCTGTGGAATTCTGCATCAAAATCCAATTGCATTCCACTTCCCATTAATTTGAAAGGGAAATCTGTAGCATAATGCACATAGTAATCACATTGATTATTAAACCAAGCTTTCTAAAAGTCCTCTTTTTTTACATTCCAGCATGGCTTCTGAAATGTCAAAAAATAAACAAACACAAAAAAAGAAAAATTATAGATGAAGGAAGAGTGTTCCAAGAAAAGTGGACAGATGAATACTTTTTTGTTGAGTCCAATAGTAAGGCAATCTGCTTAATTTGCAAAGAATTAGTGCCAGTTTTCAAAGACTACAATTTGAAAAGGCATTACATGACAAGACATGCTGAGAAATTTGCTGTGTATGAAGGAATGTGTCGTAAAGACAAAATCGCTGAACTGAAAAAAAATCTATCATCTCAACAAAATTATTTTAAACAAGTATTGATTCAATCAGATTCTATTGTCAAAGCCAGTTATGTGGTTGCAAACCTGATAGCCAAAAAATCAAAACCGTATTGCGATGGTGAGTTTATTAAGGAATGCATGGAAACCGTGGCTGATATAATTTGCCCGGATAAAAAAGGGGACTTTTCAAAAATCAGTTTGCCTCACCAGACTGTAGCCAGGCGAATTGAAGATATAGGAAAATCCATCGAAAAAGTTGTGAAGAGTAGAGCTGCTCATTTTAAATTTTATGCTATGGCGATAGACGAAAGTACAAATGCTACAGATACAGCTCAATTGGCAATTTTTATTAGAGGCATTGATGACAAATATAATATCACTGAAGAAATGGCTGCTTTAGTTCCACTGAAAGACACAAC